CATGTATTTGTGGTGTTTCCAGATTTTTTCTTGTGCTTGACTCCTAGTTTTATAGTGTTATCAGAAAAGATACATGGTGGTCTTTTTGAATTTGTTGAGGCTTGTTTTGTGGCCTAACATGTGATTGTTCAGGAGAATGTTGCATGTGCACTTATAAAGAAGGTGTATTCTGCTGTCATATGATGGAATATCCTGAATATATCTGTTAAATCCATTGTGTCATTCAAAGCCGTTGTTTCCTTGTTGATTTTCTGTTTAGATAGATGATCTGTCCATTGATGTGAATGGGGTGTTAAAGTCCCCTGCTATTATTACCGATTAGTTCCTTTTTGTTTGTTATTAGCTACTTTATGGATTTGGGTGTTCCTCATTTTCTTAATTTTTAATTTTATTATTAGTGCCTTTTGTGTCCTGTCGAAGGAGTCTATGCCTATCTCAAGGTTGTAAAGACAGTTCTCCTCCGTTTTCCTCCATATGAATATCTTATTATCCCAGGACTGTTTGTTGAAAAGACCATCCTTGCCCCTTTCCCTACTGAAATGCAGTAGCTCCTCTGTTGTAAAATGGAGTATAAGTGTGAATGTATTTCTGGACTCTTATGTCTTATTGATCTATTTGTGTTTATGCCAGTACTATACTGTCTTAATTACTATAGCAAAATAAATCTTAAAATGAGGTAGTATATTTTTCATCAGAATTATTTTAAGTATTTTAGGTCCTTTGGATTTCATATTAGTTTTAGGATCAGCGTGCCAATTTCTACAAAATGCCTGCTGGGATTTTGATTAAGATGGTGTTGAATTTATAGATCTATTTGAGGAGAATGACATCTTAATGCTGTTGTATCTTCCAATCCATGTACATTTAGCTCTTTTTAGGTCTCTAATAATCGCTCATCAATGTTTTGAAGCATTCTTAGGTAGAATTCTTGCTCATCTTTTTTACATGTATTTCTAATTATTTTTGATGTTGTAAGAGTGGTATATAAAAAAAATCATTTTCCAAGTGTTTGCTGCCTGTATATAAAAATACAGATGGTTTTTGTATATTGATCTTGAATTCCACGACTTCATAAGCTCATCAGTTAGTTTTAGTAGTTTGTAGGTTGCTTTGGCTATTCTAGGTACATATCAGATCATTGTGAATGCAGACAGTTTTATTTCTTTCCATTCTTTTTTATTGTCTGATCGGAGCCCTCAGAGGTTATTTTTGACGAATCACTAGATTAGTTTTGAACCACAGTTGTCATTTCTGATTCTAATTGTAAATATACACCACACTGAAATTTGGTGTCAAAGGACTGCATCATAATGGAATTGAAGGAAAGCAGATTAGAGTGTTGTTTTCTGTTGAACTAATTATCTTAAGAAGTCTGTCTGGGAGACAGAACCTGTATACCTCCTGTTTATTGAATACAACCAAATCCTCCTTGATGGCTATTGGTAAGGTTAACAGTAATTCTCAGAATCCAAAATTAGGGTCAGGTAATGTTTCTTTATATCACTTAAATAGAGTATTTCAGCTTTTCTGCATGCTTGACAAATGAGGTTTTCTCTCATTTTCTGGGCTTCTCCCTTGTCCTTAGTTTTAGCCTTAACTGCTTTATAGTGGGCATTCCTCGTAGCACACCAAGCTTTTGTGTATAATGCTTATTACAATTTGAGAATTTTAGGTTAACCTCGCTTTAGAGACACCCAACATATAAAATTATGGGTTTTTTTTTTT